GTCCCACATACAGCAACTAGAAGGATGTGCAACTATACATACAGCTATCTACGGGGGCTTTGGGGGAAAAAAGGAGGAGGATTGGCCATAGATGTTAGCTCAGAGCTGGTCTTCCTCAGCAAAAAGAGGAGGATTAGCACGGATGTTAGCTCAGGGCTGATCTTCCTCACAAAAAAATAAAAAATAAATAAAACTGTTTGGAAAAAAAAAACTTTAAAAAATAAATAAATAAAAATAAAAGTGGGCAAAATATTTGAATAGACAAACCAAAGTAGGTTTTTATTTTCATAAGGAAGATTAGCCCTGAGCTAACATCGGATGCCAATCCTCCTCCTTTTGCTGAAGAAGATTAGCCCTGGGCTAATATCCATGCCCATCTTCCTCTACTTTATATGGGATGCCATCACAGCATGGCTTGACAAGTGGTGCATTGGTCAGCGCCCAGGATCCAAACCTGTGAAGCCCAGGCCACCGAAGCGGAGCGCACAAACTTAACTGCTATGCCACTGGGCCGGCCCCCCAAAGAAGATTGTTGAATGGCTAATAAGCACATGAAAAGATGCTCAACATCATTAATCATTAGGGAAATGCAAATTAAAACCATAACGAGATACACTTCATACTCAGTAGAATGGCTATAATCATAAAGACAGAAGATAACACATTTTGGTGAAGATGTGGAGAAACTGGAACCCGCGTACATTGCTGGTCGGAATGTACAATGATGCAGACACTTTGGAAAACAGTTTGGCAGTTTTTCAAAAAGTAAAACATAAAGTTACCATACCCAGCAATTCCACTCCTAGGTATATACTAAAGAGAAATGAAAACATATATCTAGAGACTTATATACCAACATTCATAGCAGCATTACTTATAACAGGCAAAAAGTGAAAACAATCCAAATGTCTATCAATTTGTGAATGAGTAAACTATGTGGTATATCCATACAATGGAATAGTATTTGGCAGTAAAAAAGAAACAATACATGCTAAAACATGGATGGACCTAAAAAACATTATACCAAATGCAAAAGACTATACATTGTATGATTCCATTTATATGAAATTTCTAGAAGAAGCAAATTTGTAGGTTCAGTAAGCAGATCGGTGATTGCTGGGGCTGGGAGCCAGATTTGGCTGCAAACAGGCATGAGAGAACTTTATGGGGAAACGTTCTAAAACTAGATTTTTGTGATGGTTGCACAACTGTATAAATTTACTAAAAATCATCAAACTGTGCATTTGAGATATGTATATTATATCTTGTAACTTCAACAAAGTTGTTTTAAAAAATTAAGTTACCTGCCCAAATTCACCTATCATGTATCAGAACTAGATTAGGCCCAAGTGTGCCCAACTGCAAAGCCT